CGAACCCAGCATAATATAAACCCTATTTAATTCCTTATATTAAATAGGGGAATTTGTCGGCCAATACATTGGTTTCGCAGACCAAATGGATGTCATAACTTTCTTTAGTTTATTTGATCGAGCCTTACCCTCAATTCTTGTGTTAAAAGCGCTCTTTCATTTAAACTATAAAAATTATGGGGTCAGTTTGACTTCATCTTTTTCAAAACTAAAATTTTTTAAAACGTCCTTCCGAAGCGGGCAACGGGATTTCAATTTCGATGACCGACAGCTTCTTACGGGCAAACCCCATACCAAAAATAGTGTCGACACTTGCATGTGCTATTTAGCTCCCCCACATTTAAGGCATGGCTCATGATACATTATTTGTGTGTGAGTTTTTCCGCTGACACTTATTTTCATACAGGATTGAGTCTTTTTCTTTTGTTTATGTACTTTTACAGTCTAAGAGAGTTCTGTAGCATAAAAAAAATGTGAGCACAGGTTCAGAGGCGTTTGGCGCAGAAACTGCGTGGATGGGATCAGGAGTAGAAGCTCGTGTCTCGTATCTTAATTCTGTATTTTTATATTGGTGTATAGAATTAGGATCGGGCATGTATATGTGAAGTCCGGTCGCCTTTTTATTTTTGTGGGATATGTTGTCGAGCCAACGGCACCTGTTTATTTATTATTTTGATTTGGCTTGTTTTGTGACTTGGCTTGTTTACTTTTTGCATCATGTTGCATATCTGCACTTGCATGTGTTTTTTCTTGTTTCTTTCTATAATTTATCTGGGATTTCATGATGAAATATAGGCTCATTATGACTTAAAATCTTAATTTTTCTACTTAAAATCTTAAATAAAATATTCAAGATAATTAAAATTTAGGATTAATATATTCAGGATCTAAAAATTATAACTTTTACTTTCCTGCATATATTAATATGGCCTCCACAATACTTAAGGATCGCTCTAGATAACTGCATCATATTTGCATGTCCTAAGGAGGAGCCCCCATGCTTCTTCAGCCTGATCGGCCCAGTATACCTCTTATAGGTGGTTTTCTAGTGCACCTAGAATGTTTGAAGGCTCCTCAACTCAGATGAGGTATAAGTCCTTTTGTTGGGAGTGTTTTCATCTTTATAGTTGAACCTCCACTTTTCCTTCTTTCTTGAGGCATCATTTCAATTTCGACAAATATAAGTCCCACCTCTTGGAGCTCTAACTTTTAGTCATAGGATAGAGCTTCCTTCCTTTGACATTAGGGCTACTGAGGTTCCTGTGGACGACGCAATTCACGGATTGCTGACCGGAGATCTCAGGACGTGTTGGGTCGACTACCTTCACTACCAGGTAGACTTAGGGTTTAGTAACTGTGAATGTCGGGTTTGTGGTACCCCCGACCCAGTTACCTCTACCTTTTAGGATCAATCTACATTCCTTTTATTGAGTCCTTTGGGCCCTGTCGCTCCTTGACTTCGTTGATATCACCTTGACGACTCGATGTTGATGAGCTGCCACCCATTTGGGGTACTACAATTTGTCCTCCGCCCTTTGACCTGAACGTGTTTTAACTTGTTGTTCCGGGAGGGAGATTTATTCGAATAGAGAAAGTATACGGTTCCTGGAGGAGGATTTATTCGGGAGGGAGATTTATTTGTAATATTTGGTTCCTCTTCTCTTTGAATCATTAATCTGATTCGAGAGGTAGATTTATTCGAATATGAAAAGTATACGACGATCGACAAGCTAGCGACTCCTTCTAAAATAAAAGAGAGAAAAATGAACAAAAACACTTGGGACATGTTGTTTCGGGAGTTTGATGTTTGATCATTTAATTTAAGATAGAATATTAATTTCTACTTTATTTATACTAATAATACATACTTAATTTCTAATTTATAGAGGTCCTACCGGTTACTGGAGCATCACTAGCAGATCCAGTAGATTTTTGAGGTTTGTGGCAAGCATTGACTAGGGAACGTGTTCGCCACATCACAGAAGAAGGGGATCAGAGACCCATGTGAGTGGGTGAGGATGTCTGGGCTCATTTGAATGGATCTTGGGGAGGAAAAGACTGAAAAAATCTTAGAATCAGACGATAGAGGGAATTAGAGGGGCCGCACTCAACATTGGATGTTTGATCCCCATACAGAGCACTACCGAAGACTTGTAAGTTTATCTCAAAACTCAGAAACTTAAGAATTTATGCAATTGTGACTTGCTATTATCTCATGTACACAAGCAAAACAGCTTGACCAAGAGTCATCCACTGCAAAGTTACATGCCCTGACGCATTGGCACCCGGGCATGAAGTTGTGGGTCAATAACCCTCTTGTCGTGTAAATGTAAGTAAAAAAATAAATTATTCGCCTTTTTGTGACTATGAAAATTTAAATAACAATTAATCTTTCATTTTAATTTTGCGGGAGGCGTGCATGCGGCTCTAGGAGAGGCAAAAGAAAATGATGAACGAGACCTTGACATCTGCTAGCAGCAGTGTTAACCAGTCTACCATTACTCAGTCTAATTTCGAGCTGTGGACTCAGGCGGCGGGAAAGATGAAAGGGAGAGTATACGGCCTAGGCACATAAGGCATTGCATTTGAGGCTGAGTGCTCTCGTGCTTCTATGGGTGGCCCTAGCTCGTTACATGCTCAGCATAACGAACTTGTCAAGAGAGTCAACGAGATGAATAAAGAGCTCAGACAGATGCTTGACAGCCATCGGATGGTTACCAATGATCTAGGATGCCTAATAGAATGTTTTGATAATCTGGACAAGTGGCATTTAAGTGTTGTCGACAAGGATTTGGAGGACAGGAGGACGATGAGGAGATGGATGAGGATTTTCTTTGTGTTTGATAATGTTCTCGCAACATAGAGGCTAATTTTTTTTTCTCATTTTTGTTTTAGTGAACTTTCAGTTTCATGAGTTATGATCTTTGAACATTCAGATCTTATTTCTTTTATTAAATTTGGAATAATTATGTAGACATATTGGTGATTTCTTTTTTTAGTATTAATTATAGATAAATATGTCATTATGATGTTTGTATTTGTTATGTGTAAGTATGTGGAAATCTAATCATTATATGTATGTATGTATATATATATATACATAAATACATATAATGATTAGATTTCCACATACTTACACATAACAAATACAAACATCATAATGACATATTTATCTATAATTAATATATATGTGTGTGTGTGTATTTTTTTTTTTTTTTGCTTCTTATAGGTATGTGTCATACTAGTATCATAAAATCTGACAGAGACTTTACAATAACCTGCACGATAATTGGTGTCACTATCCCAACGCAAAACAAGATTTGAGCCGGGCGTGAGTCGATGTAAATTTGCGTCGACCGTATGTCGACGAAATCATGACGTTGCTGAAGAAAATATGCAACGATGGATTTAATCGGCATTAATTCTGACGTAAATAAAAATCTGATGCAAATGTGTATGCTACCACAATTAGCAACACCCATTTTAACATTATTTTTTTTTTTTTACGCAAATAGGATGCAAATGGAGATTTGCATGGGAAATATACTTGATTAGCTTCGGAAATATCATACGTTAATCTTTCCAATTCATGTAGTGGTACCATTTATCATACTGTAGCAAAAAAGTTTTATCATGAAACCCTTAACACTTCATAACTTATTTTAACTTATGCATGTATGGCATACTATATATAATTTATTATATCCTTACAAAGAGGTTTTATTATAGAAACATTAAACACTTCATAGCTTATTTTAATTAACACATGCTATAAAGTTCTTAACTATTCAAAATATTTAGCATTTGAAGAAGTGTTCTCAAAGACATCATTCACTATAGAAAGGGTGTTAATGGCCTCCTTCACCATGGTAGTAACCACCATCTCCATCACCACCCTCTCTTCTATCTCTTCCATGGTGGTAACCACCAACACCACCACCACCGTTATTGCCACCATTGCCATCATTGTCACCAGGATATCCTCCTCGGCCATGGTAACCATTATCGCCACCGTAGTTGCCACGATGATACCCTCCTCCACCATTGTAGCCACCATCACCACCGTGGTTGCCACCGTGATATTCTCCTCTGCCACGGTAGCCACTATCACCGTCATAGTTTCCACCATTGCCACCATGATATCCTCCAAAATTGTTGCCACCATCACCACCATGGTTATGGCCATTGCCATAATAATCATCATTGCCATCACGATAACCACCATCACCACCATGATAACTATCACCACTGCCATGACGCCAATCATTGCCATTGGGGCCGCCAAAGTTGTCATAACCATTTTGATTGTTCTCACCTTGGCCCTGATTGTAACCACCAATATCATGGGGATACTTTGCAACTGTTTTGGGCTGCAACTTCTTGCTTCCATTTTCCTTATCATCTACATTAAAAAGTAACAATTGTCTATCATTACAACAATTAATAGTAATAAAGAGAGATTTTTTATGTTATGATTAATATTATTTTGCTCCTCATGTGTCTGTCATGAATTTTTTTTCTTAAATATGTTTTTATGTGTTAATTTTTGCATAAGAATTTGACGCATAAATTTGAGTTTACACGATAAATAAATTTGAGAATAGTTTATTCTATAAAGCTCATCAAGTCTAACATAACTTTATAGTAAATGTCAAATGTATTTTAGTCTGTCTCGTACATAAATCTAATTATTCTGGCATTATCATTTATTGTCAATGTATTTTATTTTCTTAATCTTTTGAACTGGTTTCCAAAAAGCACAAGAACCAAAAAAAACATATGAAATTTCAAAAGCCAACTACGTGAAGTTGAATAGTGAAATTTCTAAGATCTTTAATTTTGTTGTAGAATAGATATTTACATTAGTTCTAAAAAAAATGAAGAATCTCTGCCCTGTAAATAAAACTTGTTGAGACTCATCGTCCCCAAACTTTCTTATTTCTTATTCCCTATTTATTTGTTGTAGATTAGAACAAATAATTAAATGTAGAACAACTAAATCCACATAATAATAATAATAATTTGCTGAAATCAACCTTCAAAGTACTCCTAAACTATTTAAGATCAATATTCATATTGTTTGAAACAAATGGGAGATTTAGGGCGCCTAAGGGGACACAATCACACCGTCGCCATTCAAATTTTTCAAACTCACCCAACCTTTCGTTCCCTTGTCGAAATTGCTATTGCTTCTCACCTATAGGTAGCACAGTCAAAACGGCTCTTTGTTCGCGATCAACTCGTGTTTAATTTGCTCACTACAAATTTATTCGTTTGTGTTTGGCTCGTTTTGACTAAAAATTATAAAATTATATAACACACACATATATAATTGATGAGTATTATTTTCAAATAATTTAATTGACAACAGGGCACAAAGATTTATAATCAATTAAATTTATTAATTAAAAAATAGAATACAAATATATTAAATTCCATTTAAATGAATATATTAATATAATAAGATTTAAATTTTGCTATTACCTTTAACATTCTACAGCAGTGTGCTAAGGATGTCAATATAACTCGTTGTTAGTGAACGACTCGTGTTCGGCTAGCTAAGCAAACAAGTTGAATAAGAACATATTTTTTGTTTTTGATATATTAATGAGTCTAACACGAATAAAAGAATTTTTTAATGAGTCGAACATGAGACGAGTTTGGGCTCACTCATGCTCGGCTGGTTTACATCCCTACCTACATGTACAATAAAGAGGCAATGCTAGAGATTTCAAACCTCTCGGGCCTATCTAAATTACAAATTATTTGCATAATTGGGCGAAAATAAATAAATAAATAAATAAAAACATTTTCTGAGAACTAAACTTTGTCTCGAGCACCTTCATTAAAAATATTTTATTTTAGTTTAATTATGATGAATAAGAGATTAATTATAAGATAAAAAATTAATGATGAACTTAGATTGTAATTATATGAATCTGTCATTAGTTTGAACCAAATGTCTCTTGAGCTAATGTTTCTTTTCTTGATCATATTTAACATATATATGATAAAAAAAATGCCCCTCAACTAATGTAAGCAAATTCTCTATTAAAAATATCTACTTTATTCAGGTACATTTTTCTTAAAGAAATTATCAATAAATAGGGGAAAGATATACATAAATATATAATTTAATGAGTACCCTTGTATGTAAACATATATTTTTCATGTGATACTAAATATAAAATACAAAATTTATGTATTAGATAGAATTTGGTGGTATTTATGTAAATGAAGCTAAATAATAATATAAATAATAATAATAAATATATATTTTTTCTTTAAAGGAATGGCCGGAAGAAATTATACAAGTCTAGACCATCTTTCATACACTTAAATATTATAGTACCACATCTTACACTCGGGGGAATCGAACCCCAGACCAAAAGAAACTTACAACTGACAAGCAGATGACCGACTACGCGGAACTTGATATTAAAATTTGAGCGGTGTTTTTAGTTTATATTAAAAGGCTCACCGCCGAACTGCCGAGCTGCCACCTCCATGGAAATGAGAAGGGACACAGAAACCAGAAAGCCTATCAGAAGCAAAGCATTCGAAGTCATTTTCTTCCTTCCTATATATGCTGAGGATGAAGAAGAAAGAAACTGTAAGTCCATAAATCTGTCTCCTTCCTCGATCACTATTTATAGGACTCTCGCATTTAATGGGACTGATTCACAGGTGTTCATCTTCTGGTTGGGAAGATCTTACAATGCATTAATGGATACCGTGATGGACTGTTACAAAAGTCAGAGAAGATTATCGAATTCGCAGCGCAAGCTACGTGGAGGTTCTGCATGCACATTTTTTAAGCGGATGAATTTCAAATTAAATGTGTAAGCTATCTTCAATGAAGAGATCGAGAATTAAGATTTTATATATTTGGTGTACGTGAATTCTGATTAAATTCATTCAATATTTCAAAAGAAAATAAATTAAATTTTAAAAAATTAGAAATTTTCGCTCTCACGTTATTATTAATTAGGTGGTTTAAATCTTACTCATTTAAGAGTAACGTCACAATAACTGGCAATATTCCATAAATTGTTTGATGGCAAGAAATTAGTCAAATTACATAAAGAGCAATGAGAGAATAATTTTTTTTTAAAGGGGGTCGTGTTTAAGCCTATTCTCTCAAAAAGGAAAACATACATCATTAAGTCCACTGTTAAAAAAATTAAGAAAATTTTAAAATCAATGTTTAACAAGGTCAGATTAATGGTTATATATATATATAAGATCTGAGTCAAGTGGTAGGTATGATGGGGAGAGTTTGCTTAGGTGTAAGAAATGCAAACTAGATAATTAAGGAAATGAATTGTAAGCAAAATCGAGTTAGCGGATGGGGCCAAAAGGGTTGTTAATTGAAGAATGACGTTGAGTTTGAATGGATGAATGTGACAATAGAGTTCATGACTCATTTGATATGATATTTTCAAGCTCAAGTACCACACCACCCATGTTTGGATCGTTTGATTAAATCGTTGCCTTGGATGGGCTACACCTTACGTCATGCTTAGATTGCTTGGTTAAATGGATCTTATCGCAATCTTTATGGGTAACCATCTAGACTTACTACTATAGTGATTTATATGTCGCCCACCATGGATCTTGTCGTGAGTCAGTGGGGAATGGCCACCAAAATTTGATATGTGTTATGACGCAAGAAACACGGCACATTTATTACACATGAATGTTGTGAATCGAATAGTTCTAGAACTATTATTGAATTAATCTAGCCGCTTTGGTTGAAACACCATTGGCAGGTTGACTCATGCTCCCCACATGTTGGTCAGGCTTGATAAGCCTTTGTGTAACCTTGACCAAGTTCCTCGAGTATCAACTTGGTCAGATTCCACTATTTCCTGTGTGCACCATAATTAGGTTCCTCGTGTATCGGTTGGGTCTGAGATCACACAATGTTAAAAAACTTCCATATATATTGTGCAAATTTAATGAGTAAAAATAAATAAAAAATGGAATTTAATATTGATTTTATTGTTACAGCTACATCGCTTATGGATAAAACATCTAAAGGTCGTCTTTGCTCCATGTGTTGGGCACTTTCTTCTTCTTATATGTCTTAATCTTGTAGGCTTTGAGGGTGACTCATTTGTTGATGATGAATGATCTGATCCACGTCTGATCAAGATTACCTAGCACTTGCTCATTTGTTATTGGGCCAGCTTTCTTTAACACGAGATTTTTAGAGTGAATGTTTGTCCCCTAACATTCTTATTGTAATATTGAGTTGTCCTTCTTTTTACTTATTCATACCAGTGGGCTGAGTCGACTCGCTTTTTTCTACTAGGTCAAGTGCAAGTTTTATTCCTTCGTAATTCTCAGTGATGAAAAAGAACTTTTGTTGTCTGTATGACAGAGGAAATGATCTTAGGATTTTGAGTCCCCAAACAGGCAATTAGTTGGAGGAGTTGACACATGAAAACCTCAAATAAGAAAATTATAAACTTTTCAGAGATATAATCTATTTTTTAAGCTACTCTTACTGTGGGAGATCCAACATGTCAAAGATGAGAATTTTTTTGCTCAACCTTTGGAAGGTTATGTGAACTTATTTGAGTAGTAAAATTAATTTAGCAGTATACTCGTCGATAGATGAACCAAAATCTTGAAAATTGCCTTAAGATCTTTGGAGAAAAGAAAATCCTACGACAGGATTTGAGTCCTTTCAGAGAAGAAGATGATGAGGTATCTCTTAGGTGGTTATACCTTTCAGAGAAGAAGATGATAAGGTATCTCTTAAGTGGTTATAATTCAGTATGATCCAACATGCCAAATATTTACTTCTAAAGTTGATCCTACCTGGCAAACTTACATATCTGATACATTCAGCAGAGTATGAGGAGTAAGAAAAGTATACTATATATTTACTTATTTGTGATTTTACTCATAAAAATCTATATTCTTATGCATCTCCAACTCAAGTTATGTCAAAAGTGGATGAATACTTATTCTATCAGAATGTGCTTCAAAATGACATCCAAATAATTGACTTACTCAGAGCTCAAAACATTTAAGCTACCTTCAATGGGATTGACCTTGCTACTATGAGAAGACATAAGCAACATATGAGGTCGAAGCTCTTCTAAGCTTGGGATACTGACATAGGAGCTACACAGGAGGCATTTACGTGATGTTTGCTACAATTTTGCAACCTAAAAGCAGTGCCACGAGACTATCTTTCATATGGACTGAACTGATCCAAACCTGAGAGGGTCGACCAACTCACCCACGCTGGTTTGGCGCCTCCTTTTTATAGGAAGATATAATCCTAGGTATCCAGGGCTTATATATGTGATTATGGTGCTTTAAGTTTTTCTTTTTTTTTTTTTTTGCTTTTTGTTTTTTTTTTTTTTTTTTTTTTTTTTTTTTTTTGCGTTTGTTTAGGACAGCCGTCAGTTTGTCATTTTCTCACTTCGAGGGTTGTATCCAAAAGCAAGTCGTGTTCCTGCTGTAACTCATCCAAGGCGGTGATCTCCTTCCAAGGGAGCAAGTGCTACTCCGGCAGTAGCTTGTTCTTACAATGGTATTTATCTTTATTTTTTTCACTCTTCTATCTTTCCGTTTGATTTTCCCACCCTCCTATCTTTGATTTTCCCTAGTACAATAGCCCCGCACAACATATCTTACTAAATTATCTTATTTTCGGCCACCGTCATCACCTTCCTCTCTATCCTCTTCACTTTCATTATTGTCATAGGCCTTCTGCTTCGCTCCCCCTCCCCTCTCTTGGTAGCACTGCCCAAAACCTCTTCTTATTATCGTCCACCTTACCTGCTTCCACCACCGCAAATAACAAATTATTGTTGTTAACCCCCCCTTAGTCTCTCTAACCCCTCCCACACCTGTTGCAGCCTCCAGAAACTCACTCAAGAACTATCCCCTCTCATTCTTGCTCCTGACAACCAGTTTTTGTTAATTTCTCATTTGTTCCAGTGATTTCTGGTTTGCTACTACACAGGACAGTAAGTTGTTGTCGTCTTACCGGTAATTCCCCATAGTTCCACAGCTTTCCCATCTTGTCGCCACTTTCCGAAGCCTCTAATGGCCACCACCATCCTCTGAGATTCACCCTAATCGTGTATCATATGTTGTGTTTGTTGCTATTTCTATTTTCATTTCTGATATTATATTTCCTTGTTTTGAAGTCAACAATGATATTATATTTGATTTGTCTGTTGTTGTTTGGGTTTAACTCTAGTATCAATGACATTGCATGCATTCAGATGATATAGAAGGAGGACGGGAATCGCCAATTGCCATCATGAATCAAGCTGCTCTCTGGAATACCATTAAGCAAGTGTGCATTAAGCCTACTGAAGTCATAAATAGACTTCGCATGAATTCAAGGAGTTTAGAAGGAGAATTGAGAATCACCATCAACATTAAAATTCCTTTGACTCTTGACTTTGGCAGACTAGTATTGGATCAATTTTTAATAGGAAAAACATTTCTAATTCGGAGGCTCAAGAGGGAGTCATATCCATAAACGTAGTTATTAAGAATTGAACTACTATCTGGTTGTTATAGTTGACAAAATAAAAATTTTTATATCCTATTTTCTAAAGTACACCATTAAAAGTTATAATGAATCTCAGCCAATAATTCAAATAATTCCAAATTACAGATTTGATTAATTGAAAACTGCCGAGAAGGAGAGTAACGTGGCTTTTTAATTTTATTTTTAGCTTTACAATCCATCAAGTTATCAACTTAACATGTGAAACAAATTTAAGTGAATTGTATCCAGTCATGTCTGCGACGAAATTGCTAGGTTCCATAGACCCAGGAATAAGTCTGACTATGCCTGAGACTTCTGATCTCCTTCGCTCAGTAAAACTTTTGAGCAGTAGTTCTGATTCAACAAACAGACATGGTGATGGAGGCCCATGCCCTGAGTTACCCAACAACATGGTGCTATGGTGCTAATGGTGCTTGCCAGCCTTTCTCCTGTCACTTTAATCCCTTATGCAAGTAACTGTTCCTTCTCACCTGCTCCTTTCTCAGAGAGAGAGAGAGTGTGTGTGTGCGGATAAATGAGGTGTAGCATGCTCATACAACAACATAACTTCAAAGCTTTTAAATCTCTCTTTTTAAAGCATAAGCTTAAATGCACAATACATAAAAAGTAAATTTATATTTATTTCCATTTAGTGGATTAAAATTTGAGTAATTATAGTCAATATATCATTTAAAAATTCAAATTAATATGAAAAGGAACATGTTTGATTGGTTTGAACCTACTTCAAATTTGGTTCCAAGAGGTCGATTTTATATTGTGGCTTGATTCCTGAATGGACATTACCGAATAAGATCGAATGCGGGTGCCAACGACTGAAGGGGCGTGTAATTCTCGATTCAAAATAATATACTCTAGTTTCATGAGAATAAATATTTGAGAACATGGCGAGAGGTGTAAAAGAGTTAAGTAGAGCTTCGGTCATATTTTATTTGAGCTTGAATTTGATTAATTAATTATGTTGATATTGGAGATAGAATATTAATTCACACTATTATTATAATAAAACGACAAATAAAATAAATAATTAAGAGATAAATAATATAAAATTTAAGTTTAAATATTTTTAATAATTATAGATAACATCTTAAATTTTAAAATTTGATTGTATTTTACATAAATATCTATTTTAAATAATTCAGCTGATTGCTTAATATGTGTGAGTCCGGGATGGCTTGAGCAGTTGAGCTTGTATTAGCTCTTGAAGCTCAGCTCACAAGCCACATATGAAATCAATCTCAAGCTGGCTCATAACTCAACTTGGTTATGTTACACCTCTAAGGTAAGCTCTCACTATTGCCAAAGCTATAGGGAATGATATTATTAAATTAACTATTAATTTGTAATATTAAATTCATTGAACCTATCCTATAAAAATAATTCATGTTGATATAGACACAAAAGAGATTTAGGAATAAAAAAGTCATTTTTTTTCTTTTTTGCCCAAATATTTAAAGACTTGTCATTTCAATATTTTTATCCCATGTAAAACAAGAGTCCTTATAATAAATAGGGCTGTAGGAAATACTGAGTACTCTTTCTTCACATACTCTGCTTCCATTTTCTTCTCGCTTCTTCAAAACTAAAGCTAGTTATAAGCCATGGCTTTCACTTGATCAGTTCGAGTTGCTGAGGCTCTACAGAATGAAAAAAAAAAAAAACAAAGAAAAAAACAATCTTTAAAGGTGCTACTGAATTCTGATGCATCAAGAGCTGGGTTGCCTCATATTTTTCCACAGCTTTCTTGAACTTGACAGGAAAGCTAGCTGCAGGGTAATAATCTTTATTATAAAGCCAATTATAAAGCCAGCCTTAAGCTCAAGAAAGCTGTGGGAAAACATGGGTAAATCCAAATTATTGTCACATATGTGGTTTGTTCAGCAGTAGATGTTACTTCAAAAAGTACCAGCTTTGTTAGTATGAATCAAAACAGTATTATTTTTGTAACTGTTAAAATACTTCGCTGTTTTACAGGTTTGTCATCATTGTCGTTGGTATTTTACTCTGAGGGGGGTTTTATGACGATTCTTCTATAATTACTTTCTACCTTTGCTTTTTGAAGACTACCAAACACTTCATATTCAGCATTTGAGAGATCATTTGTTCTTTGTGTTTGCAAGTTTAAGTTAACATGTTGAAGAACATTAGTTAATCGCATGCAAAAGAGCTTCTTTTGGGCTCATTAATTTGGCTGTCGATCTGTGGGGAATGTGATGATTTCATCTTCTCCTCTCTGAATGTGAATTAGAAATCTCTATTTTTCAATGCTTTTGAAGTTTTTTTTGGAGTTAAAACTCATTAATTTATAGTTTCATTAACTAAATTATAGAATCTAATTAACTTGCTATTTTCCAAGACATGATTTCTAATTTCAAGAAACTAAATGAGCTCTTAGCTAGAAGAAATTAGACATGACTAATCTTGAACTTTTAAGTCAAACATATTTAATCAAGGAAAACTATTTAAGCTTTTAATTGCCAACTGAGATAGCTTTAATAAATCTAATGTCAAGCAATTACGATGACATGAGACATATATTGCAATTAAAGCTTCACAAAAGTTTTTGTTAAAGCTGGATTCAACGCATCTTCTAGCAATATTGATGGTGAATTTTCTGCTTCAGGTTGGTTTAAAGACTGTCAATTATAAATATTGCTAATTAACTAACCGTCAAATCGAATGGAAAATGCAAAATTCTTGTATCTGGTAGATCGATAGTCTTTGATGGCATGGAATTCAAACCAAGAAATAAAATTTGTTAATGTTATAACTTTGTCTTTAATAAAAGCAAGATTTACATATATACCACTCAATTACCATGTATTTACACATCTAACACCTAAACTTCTAAGTGTTACATACATGCCACCTTAACTATGTATGAAGATTGATGAAATCAAATGGTTTTAATTTACATATGAATATGAAATTATGAACTATATTAGAGAATTTGAAGGGGTAATTTTCAGTTAATTGGATCAATGGTTTACGCACCAAAAATAGTGGAGAGTTTTGGCCCTTCTCCACCAGCTGCATGAGATGAACGCCTTATCAGCTTAGTTCTCTGAAAGTTTTCATGCACTAGAAAACAATTTTAGTATGTGAGAGTTTTATGGGTGGACAACAGTTTGCCAAACATGGACAATTAAAAAATAAAGTTGTTGGTGGAATTTAGTCATTTTCTTGCGAATGTTTTACTTAGAAAAATTGATGTTTTCCACTAGTGCTCTATGAACTTATAGGAGCACTAATGAAGTCTCTCCTAATATCATTTACTCATCGATATACTCCAACACTTGGCTAACATTCGACAAGCTTTTTGAGCATTCATTAAATTATTTATTGAACAACAAGCTTGTTTGTTCATAGGCATAAATAAATGAGTAGGTCCACTAAATTCTATTCATATAACCTTCAAGTTCTCAAGAAGTTTTTATATTTATCTATTTGCTAATTTTAAGAGATTTTATCAAGTATCAATCAAGCCGAATTCAATTTATTCATCAAATGCATAATTCATTTAAGCACTACACACAACATGTACGAGCGTACATTTTGCATATTCTAAAATTTGAAAATGTTATAGCTAAATTAAGTATATTATTATTATTATTATTATTATTATTATTATTATTATTATTATTATTATTATAACTATTATTAATATATAATACTATTGTGGTGTCGCGTACTCTGACTTGTTGTTTGGCATATGCGAGTTAGTTGTAAGTCCCTTGAGGTCGGGAGTTCGAATCCCTCTTTAGCGACGATCACTTTATTGAGAGGGATACTCGAATAGTTAGGCACATTAGGGGTGATTAGGGGCGCGTACAATAGCATCTGGTTATTCTTTTAAATGTGTGTGTGTGTGTGTGTGTGTGTGTGTGTGTGTGTGTGTGTGTGTGTGTGTATTGTGTCATGAAGAATTGTTTATCATCTAACACGAATCTCGAAGATTTTTTTAGTAAGAAATATTCCATATTAAAATGTAAGTTCATCAAGGTTTTAAATTTCAACAAGTTTATAGTGAAACTGATAATCTCGATAAGATAAAGCCAATGATACCAAAATTGGTTCAATAGGAGTCCCAATAAGCCAAGATCAAGCTATTAAACACATTTAGAGGTTTTGGATCATCAATTAAATGATTAAATAAACTCCAAATTTGACATATATATAGTCAAATCGAGCATCTTGAAGAGTGAAATCCTAAGAATTCAAGCTTGCTTAATTTGGAGGTCATTAAGGCCCTCAAATCATTAAATAAATTTTATCATCAAGGGGGATCAATGTGGGTCATCTGATTAGGTGGTCATGTAAATTATTCTCCAAAAGATGAAAATGCCCATACCCAGATGCTATAAATAGACCCTTTATTTTCAGTTCAGGGGGAAGTAGAAGAGAAGGAATTCTAGAGCATGGTCTAGACTAAAGATCTATTGATAACTTTTAGCCTTCGTATCCACTGACCACCGTCTATCAACCGCCATCACCACCGTCGATCGCACCTGCTCGTCACCGTCAATGAACCTTGCTAAAATTCTATCCCAAATACGGTCATAACACATAACGCTATATTGGAGACCCGAAGATACTTCTGACCTCCATAGTTGTCGACGACGACCAACACCTATTAGCCATCCTCGACCACCGCTAGTTGCCCCTGGTCGCCACCGTTGATGACCTCTATTTGCTAATGTCATATCCAAAAAATGTTGGTTGTACCTAACACATGTATTCTTTAGGTTGTATAATGACAAATGTAGTGTCTAGTGTAATACTTTAGCCCCGTTATAAGAGAAAGGATCCAGTCAACAACTACAGTCTATGTGGCAAACTGAGATTATTGCAACCCCTAATAACAACCTATATGACCAACCACTATTACAACTTCTAACTACGACTTTTGTGGCCAACTGACGATATTGTAGTCTATAACTACAACCTATATGATTAACTACTACTACAACTTTCAACTACGACCTTTATAGCTAACTTACGCTACTGCAGTCCCCAACTACAACTTATGTAACCAACTAACGATATTGCAATCACTTACTATTGCCTATGTGGTCAACTACTACTGCAGATTTCAACTACGACTTCTATGACCAACTGACATTATTGTAGTCACCAACTACAACCTATGTAGTCAACTGACAATATAACACATCAATTGTGACATATATGTTTAACTACTGCAATAAAATTTGTCTACGGTCTCTATGACCAACTGACGCAATTGCAGTTACCAACTACGATTTATGTGGTCAACTGATGTTATTGTAATAACCAATTATGACCAATGTGGCTAACTAACGATAGTGCATTCATCAATTATAAGCTTCCAACTAAAGTCTTTGTTCCCAATGAACACTATTGGGGTTACCAACTATGGTCTATGTGGCTAACTTAGGATATTACAACTTTCAATTATGACCTTTGTGGCCAACTACTATCTGCGCAACAACTAACTATAGACTTTGTAGTTGCTCCATGGCTAATTGTTACTATTTTAGCCAAAGACTATCACCTTCATGATCAAATACATTTGTGTTAGCCCAATTGCAGCTATTATAGTTGGACTACTATTATGAATTGGTGATATCGAGATTATAATTTTATTTTCTATGATTTATGGGAAGTTTAAGCCTATATACTTACAACCAAATAGTGAATTACTTTGATAATTTTTTTTCTAGAGTTTTTACCATTAAAAAATCAGATGTTTCCTCCTATTAATTTTTTATTATCTGTGTTTATACTAAATCTTGTGGAGTGCTACTCTATTGCGGTGAATTTTCCAGCATACACGCAGGATCAACTTTCAAGTTCGGATAAAATGGCATAAAGGTAAAGTTTAGATTTTCGATATGTAAATATACAGGAATTGTGTGGGATGTACATAAAATCTTCCTAAAAAACATCCACTACCAAACCCACCCCTACCACGCTTCCAGAATTCTCCGTTCTATCCGCATCCCGACCTAATCACTCGTCTTTCAACCATGAACTCCATCTCCTTCCAATTCTCTTCCTCCTCTTTCTATCACTTATCTCAAAACGATCAAATCATTCCTCCCTTCCACCCCCAAACCACTTCCATACCCATCGACTTCCCCTCAAACCAAGCCCCAATTCGCATCCCCGTAGTTCTCCCCATCTCCTACACCTCCGCCGCCGCCACCAAAATTCAATCCGCCTACCGTCGGCATCTCGTCCGCCGCCAGATCGACCGGATCCGGTGCGCTGCAGCCGAAGCCGACCGGCTTGAACGTCTGATTCGGCGGCAGGATACCGTGCGGCGGCGGGCCCCCGCCGCCCCCCCCCGCCGCAACCCTAGGGAGCGATTGCGGATCTCAGAGGAGCTCATGGCGGCGCTTCTCCGCCTTGATGGTGTGCCGGGATTTTATGCGCCAGTGCGCGAGATACGGAGGGCTGTTAGCCGCCGGATCGTGGGGTTGCAGGAACTGTTGGATGCTATCGCCGATGAGCCGGAGGTGGGAGAGGTGGGAGGGATTCCGTCGAGTCTGGAGGAGATCGTGTGGGGGGCTTGGGAAGAGCAATGGGTTTAGTGGAGAAATTGGCGAAGAGGAATTTTGTTGGTACTGTCATGGTCTTTTGTTAGGTTTATCGGATAAAAAAAGTACGTGAGTCCCTATCGATGTGTTTTGTAGGCGTGTGGGTTGAAATTTCGTTAACAGGTAAAGCTAATATGTACGTTACAATTAACTAATTGTTGCGTGAGGGCTAGGGTTATAAACTAGATGTTGTTTTGCGAATAAATTAATTATGATTTCTTAGATTGCGATGAGTATAGCGATTTACATACATATCACCCAATTCTTTATATATTATCTATACCATTCAAATTTTTCATATCACCAATAATATCACTATTTTGACTTAAAAAAATCAAATGCACCTTTTTCATGTATGAGGAAGGTGATTGTGACGTTAAAAATCTATTAAAATTTACGGCTATTATTTATCAGGTTTAATTAAAAGAATTATTGTTGAGCTAAAATTTAAATATTTTAGGCATGCACAATTGCGTTTCAACTGTTCCTGCAAAATCTAACAACAGTTAACTCCCCTACTCATGCTGCTAGTTCTTCGTTGGCAACGCTTTTACTTTGTCTAAAAGGAAAATTGGGATAATTCCCACATTTTCGTCACTTCAACCACCCAAAATCGCAGAAACTCTAATATTTCGTTGCTTTCGCCTGGAACGAAATCGCATGTATTCACTCCACCTTCCCTCTTCTTCAATTTCGTAGAAATCATAAGGTCACGACATGCAAAGATCTTCAAAACTCTCATCGTCTGCTTTGCTTCTTGCTCGACCAAGCCAAAGCCCTAGTCTGATTCTCTCTATTTCGCACGCAAAGCGGCGTCATAATTCCTTCCACCTCGAGTCCTCCTTTTCTTCTTTCATCGCCTTGTTGATATCTGAACGATCCCTACAGAAAAGCACAAATTTTGCATTTGAAGCCCACTCGCAGACTGGCCTTGTTCTTCGAGCCCGTTTGGGCAGCTTATAAGTGCAATCAAAACGCCGCCGTACCGTTTGGTTGATGCGTTTCGCCAGCTCATCCGAAACAACGTTTCGGTTTTTACACTAAACACAGGTCGCGGGCTACGTTTCAGGATAAACAGCTTATCCTGAAACACACAAGCTGCCCCAAACACGCCGTTCTTTTGTGCAACTTCTATCGATCCCCTCTACAGTACACAGAGAAGGCCACGTGAAGCCCCCTTTTCTCCACTTGCCCCAGTCAAAGTCTGTTGAGCCCGGCCCACCAGTCAAGCCTTCCACAATTTAGAAAATAGAAAAAAAAACAAAGAATAAAAAAATTTTGTATTTTTTTGGTTACTTCACCCCCCTTGATTGTCTCGTTGCCATCAACTCTATCAAAACACGCCAATGTGCAACAAAATGGGTGTGGGAGGGTAGTTTTTAAAATATCCATTAATTATCACCACAGAGCCACTCCAGCACGCATGTAAATGCAAATGAGAACAATCACACACAAGAGTGGTGAGGGAGTGGATGCAGTGACTCAAGAATGGATGTTTCGTAGAGACAGTAGCCCATAAAAATAGGTGTGGCCTGGATGCAGTGACCCGGGAGGGGTGGGCATGTCGGGAAGGCAACAACCTAAAGGAATGAGTGTGTCATAGAGGCAGTGACCCGAAAAGATTGGCATGTCGTAAAGGCATCGACCCGAAGAATGGGTGTACTGTTGAGGCAGTGACTTGAAAGGGTATGTGTTTCGTGGATGTAGCGACCTGAAAAGGTGGGGCGTGTCATGGAGGCAACAACTCAATGAATGGGTGTGTCGTGGAGTCAGCAACCCAAAAGTGTGGGTGTGTCGTGGAGGTGACAACCTGAAAGAGTGGACATTTTGTTGAGACAGCGGCTCGAAGGATGGATGTGTCTTGAAGGCAGTGACACAAAAGGGTGAGTGTTTCGTGGATGCAGTGAACCGAAATGGTGGCTGTGTCGTGGTGGCAGAGACCCGAAAGGGTGGGCATGTTGTGGAGGCAACAAACCAAATGATGGATTTGTTGTGGAGGCAGTGACCCGAATAGGTGGGCGCATTGTGGAGGCAGTGGCCCGAAATGGTGGGCGTGTCATGGAGGCAGTGACCCAAGAAATGTGCCTACAATGGTCTGGAGCGGTGTTGTAGGGAGTTTGGTACGTAATCTTCGTTTGAGGGAATTAGACAACAAATTGACTCAATGGCAAACTGCCCGTTCACATAAAGTGTGAATGCAAGGGATAAGTATGTGAGAAACACAAATCTGAGTGCAAATAAACTCAAGCATGCGAGTTATGAGCATGCAAAATGCCATGCAAGACGAACATGCAGAAGTGCACAAGTGTAAGTGTGAACCACTTATGAAGTGATACTAAGTGGCATGAAGATGCCACGAAGCAAATGTGGAGTAATGTGTCATTGGGAGGAACGAGTACTCGCCATGAGCATATGAGGGCATATGCTAAAAGATGTATGACAAGAGTGTCAATGATGAATGTGCTAGTGCAAAGTTATGCAATTGATACCAATGCACGTGTAAAACACACATTATGCAAGTGGAATCGATTGTTCAACCCGTTAAGTCAACCGGTGTGGTCAACTCCGGGGCAATGTAGCTAACAGGCTCAATCTGGCTAAGGTGGTCAACTGGACTGAAGTAATTGATCGACCGAACCGGGGTCGGTCAGACCAAAGTTGTTGGTCATACCAAAGTGGTCAGTCAATCGGGTTGGGGGGACCGGTCAGACCAAAGTGGTCGATAGAGCGAGTTGGGGCAGATCTGATCTGGCCAAAGTGAAATTTCGACCTGGCTAAGGCTGATGATCGAGACAAAATGTAATATTGATCAGGCGGGGGTGGCTATTCGAGGCAAAGTATGATTCCGAGCTGGTCAGGGCTACCTGTCGAGGCAAAATGCAATGCATGAAATGCAACATGATGTGATGCAATTGATCACAAACAATATTGAGTCATACTCATCCTGATGATCTCACATAGGCAACTATGGTTTTAGCTTGTTAGATTTGCACCTTAGCCGCCTCCGGCTTTGACAAGGAAATGTGGACAACTTTGCCCTCTGATTTCTATTATGAGAAGTCATTCACCATTCGTAGGGCGGACTAACTACAAAACTTTTTTAGTCTAACAAACCTCCCACGATATTGTAGAATGGGCTAGCTACAAAGTTTTTCGCATTTTTTAAGATTGAACTATCTCAACCCCTCCAAGGAAGGTTGTAAGCACCAAAGTCATGGGAAATTTAGGATTCAACCTGCTTAGGTGTAGATCTAAGGCTTATCATAGAAAACCACTCGACTTCGCAAGGGATGTGTTAAATGAAAGTTTTCTAACCTAGGTCTTCCTATAAAATATCAATGATCATTCCAAAGGCGTGTGGTCGTGCCGACTAGTGTTAGCCGGCTAATTTGACTCTTGTAGGCAACCAAACCTACAACACCTAACTAAAATATTATCCAAGGGCTATCAAAGAAAGGAAATTCCAGGGATTTATAGAGAATCTCACCAAAGTGGTGTTTGATTTCATGTTTCTTCATGTACGATGAAGCTCTCCTAGTGGTATAAGAGATGTGAACTTTTCAGTGAAGCTCTGACGAGGTCTGCTCCTCTCATTCTCCAAAGAACAGAGAAGCTCTCCTTTAGAAGGAGAGTCCGGCGAGATTCTGGCAAATTTTTGAGTTCCAAAAAAGTTTCAACAGTCCTCAATTGATCCTTCCCCAAGCTTGGATGAAGATCTCATTTAGTGTAGGAGAAAAGAAACTTTGCTTCCTTGCTAGCCAAGCTCTTTCTCCTCGAAAAGCTCTCCTCAAACAATCAAATGAAATGGTGGGGGACGAAAAAAGAGGCGAGGAGGAGGAGAGTTTATTGTGGAAGAAGAAGAAGGTGAAGAGGAAGTAGAAGCTCTCACACTCACCTTTTCACCAAGTTCTCCAACTCAAGGCCTTCAAGAAGAAATTATAGCTCTAAAGAAGAAGAAGCCCCAAAGAAGAAGAGCAACTCTGCTCTTGGAGGAGGCCCAAATGTGTTGAAATGAGGAGATGGTCAAAAATAAGGGGAGAAGAGAGCTTAAACCAATCCTTCCCAAATTTCCCCCCAAACTTGCCAAAAGTGACCTTACCATCTCACCCTAGGAGCCTCCAAAAGAGATATAATTACCTCATTTATCTCCTCCTTAAGAAAATCTGCTCTAAGCCCAAGAAATTCTACAATTCCAACAGTTTAGGGAGGTGAGTCATGGTCAAACATCTCAAAAATGGGGATTTTTCATGTCCTAGAAGTGGTTCGGTGCCTAGGAACAACCCTGGCGCTGCGACCTTGACGCGTACTTTCCCGGGGCTCAGAAAAATGATTGTTTTTTTTATCTTTTTTTTTGTGCCTAAGTGCTCGGGACTGTCACTTAGGCAACCAAAACCGGTGTCAAACTTCCAAGGGCTCAATTTTGGCTATCCATAAGGGCATTTTGGGTGCCTAAGCACCTGGAGCTGGCGTTGGTCTAGCTACGAAAATGTTGTTTTCACTGGGAGCGTCTGTCGAAGGATCTTCTCTATCTGAAAGCTATGGGTGATTAAACACCCTTAAATTTAAAAATGACTATTCTGCTCATCCATTGATCAAAGAATTTGTTACCAACGGGCCCTATGGACTACGACGCGCGTAGGGCGTTCTAAACTCTAATTTTCCCGTAGCATGCATAGGTGGGCTCCATGACTTCCTTGACTCTGAGGAGGCTCTGAATGGATACAAATGGACCTTTAAACACCATAATTAACATCAAACATGTATAATGTCATGGATGAGTCCGTCCAACTGCGGGTTCTCACGAGTAAGGTCGAATCATCACAGATCTCTGACTTTGTGTCTTAAACATGTACTGGAGGTCTTTGATGAGTTTTCTGAACTACAAGATGCTATTGAAGAGCAGTGAATTATCCCTACCTAGTCGAGTGGACACCCTATTCACACGACTTCAAAAATTGACGCTAACAATACATTTTATTTTTGAAACTCATACTTGGCATATGATTAATAGTATACATACCAATAATATTATTTCTAATATTTTTTTTTATTTTTCTTATGCAGGCTTGAAAATCCATACATTTTTTACAGGAATGGGACAAAATTTTGAGATAGTGGTGTTCATATCATTCATGTTCTTTTTTTAGCATTTTGGACATGCCAAATCCCCTAATGTAATCCCTTATGTGATGATGATGCATGGAGACTATAAAAATTATGATTGACATGACTTAATTAAAACATTTAGCATGAACAGTAAAATTGTTAACATAAATAATTAAAAATCTAATATAAGTGCACGTGCATATTTTTCCAACATTGTTAAGAAATTTTTGTTCATATACCTTCTTTTGTAGGTTCAAAGACTTATATGTGTCTTTCTTGGCATTGTGGAAAGAAAACTTTGGGTCATGGTTAACATTAATTTTATGTGTTTTTCTTAGTATGGTAGGCATACGGGGATGACACCGAGAGGCTATCAAATTTCTATTGAGCAATACTCAAAGAAAACATAATGCAAGGGACTTGCAAAGAAAAATGCAATAGAATGAACACAAAATGAATGAAACACTAAAAAATAAAAAGCAAAATCATGTACACAAGTGACCATCTAAATATTATCCAAACAACATTCAATACAATTTAAATAAAATTTTGGATCAATAGAAAACTCATGAAGAAGTTGAAGGCTAACATAAAAAGTAAATATAACTTCTCTATTTCTACTACCACTCACAACCCTCAGAGCACTCAACCAAATGAGATTAAAAAAAAGGCACATTTTCCCTACTTATAATATAATATTTTATGTAAATGCACTAAATTATAATCATGTGAAAATGAAAAGACCCATTTTGAAATCAAGTGGTAGATTCATGTTCATCTTAAACATTACCAAATCCACACATTAATGAACAAGCTGACAAAATGTGAAATATTTGACTCAAAATGGAAAATTATTAGCATCTCAAACATGTACGCAATCATTCAAAATTTAGATAATTTTTAAGATTACATGTTTCGTTGAGCATTTTCAGAGTAGATATATTATCTTGAAGAATACAAATATAATAAATTTTTAAAATTTTAAGGTGTGACCATGAGCAGTTTGGGGACCTTTAAAATGATCTAAAATGTTTGTGCAAGTGTGCATTCCAAGTGCATTGAAACTCAAGCAAGTGTATTGCACTAATGTATTAAGATGTGTGCATACTAGTAAGTTAAATCACTTATATGTGCTATGATGAGCATGTTAAATTCTTAAACATTTGGTCTGAGTATACTATGTTGTTGAATATAAAGTTAAGTCAACTATAATAGGTCTTGAAAAGCATGGAAGTGATTAAAATTTTGTTAAACAACTTTTTAAAAAATCTGTCATTCATAAGTATTAAATATTTCATACTCTTGATTAGGTCACTTTGTTTGTAGTGCAGGATCGTAAGTTTCAATTATGATTCCTATTTTGATTCGGACCTAAATTAACAAAATTAAGCTCCCACTAGGCCAATATGATCGAAACTAAATTTGAAAACAATAAGCCTTCACTAGTTTTGTTTGATCCTCCCCGTTAGAATAATAAGAGTTGACAAGGCTAATGGCTTAATATTGTTTGAGTAATGAAATCCAACCAACTTAAATACCTCAAATTCATCATGATGATGATTTTTTTTTGAAGAAAAATCTCAAACAGAATTATATAATTTTAAAATATAAATTTTAAATTTGTAAATTATAAATGTGCAATTAAAAGACCCAATCCTGAATTGATTCTCTGTGAGTAAAACATAGTCAACGAGGTTCAAAACTATTCAAAACCACGATGATGGCCTTGTTGATTATGAATGTCCATTAGATGAGTCTTTTTTCAAAATCTAAGTCTACATTACAATTATAATATTTAAAAAAAAACTCTTGAATGATGGTTCCTTAGATTGAAAATCTCAATAAGATGAATCTTTCTAAAAATTTAAACTACAAAAACCTTGAAGTATTTAATGAAATTACATCAGCAAAAACTTAAAAGACAACCCCATTCATTATTTGTAATAGCTAATGAGATGATAATTTATATGTTAACTTAAGCTTATATGGACTAATATCATATTTAGTATACAAATATAAATACACTTAAAATAATTTGCACTAGTGAGAACGTGATATGAATCCTCTATTAGCGTAGTTTGGCGCAGCGCGAGTCTATATATATAATGGTTACCACTAAGCTATATGACTTGGTATTTTGTTTCAACAATTTCACTTTATTATGACCATAATTGTAGCTTGCATATCTCTCAATAACTTTATGTCACTTTGAATTGTGAATCATAGGGTATACCAATGAGCCATAAAGTCATATATAACTAAATTTGAATTAAATTAATCCCATTACACAAAACATCAACCCCAAGTCTTCCTCAAATGTGGCTGCTAACAATGATCATTTGGTCAGGCTGAACTGACTACTCCTCTGACTAAGTAGAACCTAATTAATGACAAACTGAGATGTCAAAATCACCAGATCTTGATCGGGTTGGTCATTATTTCCCCATCATCCACTATAAGTTTATGGTTTCTATAATATAAAATATAAATTATTACTACTAAATGTCGAGCAATCAATGTCTAATGATTATCCGTAATCGAAAGTCCTCTCTCAATAGTAAGAGGGATAATAATCAAATGAACTTTACCAATGAAAAATCTCAAATCCTCACAAAAATGAAGACGAAATTTTTTAGTAGTGTTTTATTTACAATTTATCTATCATTTAAAAATTTAACCAAACTTAACGTAGGACTCACTCATCACCTTCGAGAGCAGGGACATGAATTTTTGGAGCCCACAATATGTACTATGTAAACATGCATTTGTATATTAAAATATTATCATGCATACTTAAATGACTAACAAGTCAAGTATATATCACTGTAAGCATACTTGTTATAGTGACATGTGTATGTTACAATAAGAGGGTATTTTTACATTCAAGGTTATTTGAAAATATGACACTATCATTATTGTAAAGACACTTTAGTTTGGATTATTGTATGATATTGATTATCTTGCCAATACTTATATATATTAAATAATCCTATTTGATTATTCATGATATATGCCACAATACATTATTGTCTATACTATAATAAATATTAGTTATTTATTAATTTTGATTAAGTAACTTCGTCAATGCTTTCTTTTAGCAGGTTATGCTAGTGTGTTTAGTAGATCTTCATCACAGACTGAATTTGATTTGTGTATGCTTTAGAGAAGCATGACCCATCTTAACTCACGAGCCTCTGGCTTACCCATGTTCAGACCTAGTTGACTCATGACTTCATCGCCCTTTTTGGTAGCACATTTCATTTTTTCTACTGAAACAGAAGTGTGGGAGATGAATCTGAAGGAAAAGGAAGAGTTTTCTTAGATTGAAAGTCTCCCTCCTCTTAGTCGCTCTTCTTAGTTCAGCTTAATCTTTAAGGAGCGCAGGGGAGCAGGTCATGGCATCACTTCTTGTAGCTGATTGGTTTGGTTCTGCAGTCGTAGAGAAGCTAATCGAAGTCGGCTTTGCCTACTTGCAAGACCATTACTTTTGGCAGGCTGGCCTGAAGAAGGAGCTGAAGAAGTTGCAGGATCTTCACCCCAAGATCAAAGCTCTTGTTGCTGCTTCAAGCCGATTAGAGATGATGGGGCAGAACCCAGATCTAAAAAAATGGTTATGGCTGCTCCGAAATGCAGTTGACCAGGCAGATGACTTGCTAGATGAGCTGGAGTACAATGAGCTTGCAAAACAAGTGCACAAGGTTGACCTGAATAAGGTGCGTAACATTATTTCTCCCTTCAAGACTTGTTGTCCGAACGCCAAATTCAGCAAACATGTCTTTAGAGAAGATAAGACTTTGAATAAGCTGAGAAAGGTAGTGAGAAGGCTTGATGAAGTCTTTGCTGATGCTGGAATTTTTTTTCAACTTGTCGGGAACACAATGAATGACGTGAACCAGGAGCAGGATGAACTTTATAAGGTTCGTGAAACGGGTTCGTTGCCCAAAACTGATATGTTCGGGCGTGATGGGGAGTTGGAGTTCGTTTTACAATGGTTGAAAAGGCCAGATGATGATGAAAGCATTACAGCTAGTGGTGCAATGTATAGCAACATTTCAATTCTTTCGGTTGTGGGTCATGGAGGGATGGGGAAGACGACGCTTGTGCAGCATGTTTATAGAGATGAGGCAACTAACGAATTTGATCTTAAATTGTGGGTTTGTGTTTCGAACAGCTTTGACGTGAAAAGGCTTCTCGCAGATATGCTTGAATCTCTGACTGGACAGAGGCCTAATTTGGGTTCACTTAATGCACTTCAAGAGAGTCTCAAGGCTGCATTGTTGTCTAAGAATTTTTTTCTTGTTCTTGATGATGTTTGGGAGGAAGAGGAGAAGCAGGATAAGAGAAAATGGGAGAATGTTCTTGCTCCTCTGGCTAATGGGAAGGAGGGGAGCAAAGTCTTGCTAACAACTCGGATGGAGTCGGTTGCATTGCTAGTCTCAAAAGTGTTAAGGAAACCTATGGTTAAATTAAAATTGGAGGGCTTGCAGGAAGAAGATAGCTTATTTCTCTTCAACAGCTACGCATTTGCTGATGTGAAGAACCTTGAAGTTCATTATGAATTGAAATCAATCGGAAGAATGATAGTTAAAAAGCTTTCAGGATCTCCACTGGCAGCTAAAGTAATTGGGGGGCTCTTGAACTCTAACTTGGATGTAAGGCACTGGAAGAATGTGTTGAACAGTGACATTGGAAATGCAGAAAAGGGTCAAAATGATATTATGCCAATTCTTAGACTTAGCTACACTTATCTTCCCCAACATTTGCAAAATTGCTTTGCATTTTGCTCCATATTTCCACGAGATCACGAATTTGATAAAGATGATTTGATCCGCATGTGGATGTCCCTGGGATTCATCGAGCAGCCTCATTTTGTAGGAGAGTCAATGGAAGATGTTGGAGGCAATTATTTTGATGTTTTGGTTAAGAAATCCATCTTTGAGAAGGTTGAGGATAGTCATCGAAACACAACATATTATCTAATGCATGATTTGCTGCATGAGTTGGCCCAATCAGTTTCTGCTCAGGTATGCATCAGAGTTGTGTGTGATGATAAATTTCCCACCGGACTTCCTGACAGTATTCGCCATTTATCTGTTATAACTAGTAAACTTTCTGTGCTAGGTGAGATGAAAAATTTTAAGAACCTGCGTTCTCTTTTTTTGTCATACATTGGAGATAAAACATTTCTTGAGAATAGTTATTATGGAGATGATGTAAGATTTGACCTTATTTTTTCCCAAATAATTAGGGCATCAAAAAGCATTCGCTTACTATGCGTACGTGCACCGCACTTCAAAGTGATGCCTAAAGAAATTGGTGAATTGATGCACCTTCGATATTTGAAGCTAGTTCAAACTAGCATAACTCTATTGCCTAGATCAGTTTGCAATCTCTATCACCTACAAGTTGTGGTTTATGAAGAGATGCATCAGGTCTCTAAAAATTTCTTACCAAGGGGTTTGAATAATCTTCCTAACCTTAGGCATCTAATTTTGCCATGGGATGAAATTAATGGAATGCCTGGAATTGGGAGGCTGTCTTTCCTTCAGGGAATAGATAGTTTCAGGATAATGGATGAGAATGGATACAGGATTGAGGAGCTAGGGCATTTGAATGAGCTGCGCAGTCTTCGTCTTAAACTTATTGAAAATGTGAAGGACCCTACAGAGGCTAGAATGGCCAAGCTGAAGGAAAAGCAGCATCTCACAGATCTCTCAATCGAATGGGGGGATGGTAAAAAATGTTGTGAGGATGGTGATGAATATTGGGTTGATGAACATCTCAGGGATCTTTCAAGTCATGAACTGGATGAACATGTACTTGACCAACTCCAGCCACACACCAACTTAAGGAAATTGACAATTCATGGCTATATTGGTGCAAGGTCTGCAGGTTGGATGATTCCTTCATTGCTTGGCAATTTGGAGAGCATAAGATTGCATAAATGTTTTGGATGGGAAAGCCTTCCTCCTCTGGGACAGCTGCCATTTCTCAAGTTGTTAGACCTTTCTGATATGCCACAAGTGAAGCGACTTGGCCATGAATTTCATGGGAAAGGTGAGAATGGTGGTTTTCGGGCATTGGAGACACTACTTATTAGGAAACTGGAAGCTCTGGAGGAGTGGTCTGATAATGCAGCAGAAACTGAATTCCACCAATGGTTTCCTAGCCTTCAAAAGCTGCATGTTTTACAATGTCCTAAGCTGCAAGAATTGCCAACATTGCCTCTCAACCTTGCAAGATTAAAGCTGGCCGATGTGGGCTTGACTGATTTGCCGGGGCACAAATACAGTGCCAATAGCTCATCAGTTTCTTCTTCCCTTGCTGAAATAGAAATCATCGGCTGTAAAGACATCATATCCTTTCCTTCTGAAGAGATACTTCGCAGGTTTACAGCACTTGAACGTTTGGAAATAAGCTACTGTGAAAATCTGAGGTCACTCGGGGGATTACAGGCAGTCCAGACCCTTAAGAGAATGGCAATCTGGGATTGTCCTAATCTCATCCAAAGAAAATCATGGACATCTAATTCGGAGGGGAAAGAAAATGAATTCATCAGCAATGTATCTTTTTTTCTTGAGCAACTTGAGATAACTGACCCCTTACTGCTGCTGGAGATGCCATTGAGAAGTCTTGCCTCCCTTCAGATTCTGAAAATTAAGTTTAATAACAACCTTATTTCCTTTCCCCTCGAGGTAGAAAATTGGCTGTTGCAAAATGGTTCTTCTCTTCTTGAGTTGCACCTGTGGGATGTCATATGTCCACATTCCCTCCCTTCATGCTTGCACGAACTCTCTTCTCTCTTGGTTTTGGATGTATGTCATGCTCCTGAACTTAGAAGACTTCCCCAACTCCCTTCCTCATTGCAAAAAGTGACGGTCACTTACTGTCATCCGGAATTAAAGGAGCAGTATGAAAGGAATGTTGGCACTGATTGGCAACAAATAGCTCATGTTCCTCATGCTGTCATATGCATCTAACAACTAATATGCAACAACAACATATACAATTTAATATTTCAGTAAGCATGCATGATGCAAAACACAGCTTACACATCAGTTTCTAATTTTATTTTAGGTGCACATAATTTTCCTCTTTATAATTATTTGTTTCAGATGTCTCTTTGTGATAATTAGATCGATTAAATTTCAAAGCGGAAATCTATCGTTTCATGAGTATTTTTAATTTATGAATTGCTCCCTTGACACGTCTATGTTATTTTGAAACCTTTCTTGTTGTAATCAGATGAGGATATACCATAATTTTACTAATGGACAACTATAGTTTAAGAAGACATCTGTGTATTCCCTTTAAATATTCTTGCAATATCCCTTTTTTCTTTCTTCTTTTTTATTTTTTTTTTAATCACCGTGATTATTCTTTCAGAGATGATATCCAACAAGAGGCCCATGACACATGAGCAAGAAGCAGATTGCTCAATCTTAAAGCTTATAAAGCCAATATTGCATTTCTGAGGAAGCCAATCCCACTGAATCTACTGAACACAGAGAATAAACATGGAATGGCTTTTATTTCTGTTATCAATTACATAAAATCGATTTTAATACTTGAATTGTTATACCTTTTAATTTCAAATCTTCAGATCAGTCTTATGATTCATATAATGCTTTAGTTTGAAAGCAATAAAATGAGTGATTTTTATAATGAAATCTAGTTTGGAAGTATTTATCCTTCTTTTCCTATGTTCTTCGTGAAGTATAAAGTCTGGAGAATGAAACAAAGTAGGGATCAAGGGCTCGTTGCTAGAATCCGATTAAAAAAGTGATGGTTCAATTCATAATGAGTCTTGTTTGTCATTTGGGTCAGTCAAATGGTCAAATTCGTTTCTGACGGGTTGTTGCCGGTTTGGGTTGATTTTGTTCACCTATTTAATAAAAGGTTCGGGCGTACTCGTGTGTTATGCCGATTGCTGAACTTGTGAAAATTGCAGCGGAATAAAACAGGAATCGACACAAACTAGAAGAAGAACACAAAGATTTAACGAGGTTCGGCAAAGAATTGCCTACGTCCTCGAGAGCAAGCGGCGGTTTCACTATTTCAGAGAAGTTTTAATTTACATCCCATAGGGTCACACATATATATAGACATATACAAACCCTCAGATAAAATTACAATCACGCCCTCGCTCCCCCCAAACCTTTTTATTCCAAGAGACACTCCTTTTCACCAAGAGGCACACCTCTTCACCAAGAAACTCCAACTCCCTAGATATGAGACATACCTAACAATTCTCCACCTTGGTGAATATCCAACACCTTAGGAGATATGCATCACCCGGTATATGCGCCTACCAAACAAATCTTCACCTTAGTGAATATTTCGCCCTTTTAGAAGAAAATATCCACCTTGCGAATATCCAATTCTTTAGGAGAAAAAATCTCCACATTGTGAATATCCTGCCCCTTAGGAGAAAAAATCTCATGAAGTCTCTTTATACCAAAGTGGGTTGGGCAACCAAACCATCTAACCTGGCTTGGTCAAAGTTCCTGTTGCATTTTCACCATATGATTCAACAGAGCGATCTCCACCTGCAACTGTACTCCCTATCAGTTTATAGATGTTACCTACAGTGATCTTCCATTTCATCACAGTCAGTGCACCCTTAACAATTTCGATGTTTTCCCTATCCTCATCTGCCTTAAGAATGAAACCATTTTTGTGTAGAGTGCCCAAGGAAATCAAATTCTTCTTCAACTCTGGAACATGTCTGACATCACATAATGTTATAGCAGTATCATCATACATCTTAATTCTGACTTTACCAATACCAGCAATATTGCAACGTCTATTATCACCCAAATAGACTGAACCAGAATCAGATAACATGTATGAAGTGAATCACTCCCTATTAGGTGTTATGTGATAAGGACATCCTGAATCAAGAATCCATTCATCCTTTAACTGAGTTGTTGTAACTGAAAGTGCATCACCATCACTGTAATCTGTAATGTCACTCTGCACTTTATTCACAGCCCTGGAAGATACATCACGAGTCTTCTTCTTGAGCATTGGACAATCTCTCTTCATATGTCCCTGTTCCTTGCACTTAAAGCAACGAATCTTCTTGCCTTTAGGCTTTGACCTGGAACTTTGTCTTCTAGAATTCTCCTTCTCCTCCTTACTTTCATGATCCTGATTACCCCTAGCATATAAACAATTACCATGAGAGCTTTCTTCTGCATTCTGCTTCCGCTGGTTGTGAGCCAAAAATGCTGCAGTAATCTCATCAATTTTAATTGTTTCTTTCCCATATGTAAGAGTAGTCACCAGATGTTCATAAGAAGTAGGCAATGAACACAAAAGAATCATTGCTCGGTCTTCATCCTCAATATTATTCACATCAAGCCGTGTCAAATCCGTGATTATTGAAGACATTCAAGTGTTGAACCAAATCAGTGTCTGCCTACATCTTCAGCCCATACAGCCTTTGCTTCAAATACAATTTATTCGTCAGAGATTTGGACATAAACTGAGATTCTAATTTCTTTCATACTTCTCCTGGAGATTTCAGATTCATAACATGATACATAATCTCATCTGCGAGACATAAACGTATGGTACCTGCCGCTCGAATTTGTAACTCTTCACAATCTTCATCTTCCATATTATCAGGTTTCGTAACATGCAAAGCCTTCAAAATTCTCTGTTGTGCCAGCAAATCTTTTACCTTTATTTGCCACAATCTGAAGTTCTCGGTTCCATCGAACTTCACTATCTCGAATTTTGCTGCTGACATTGCTATTTGAAATTTAATCCTGCACCGTATTTTCTTGCCTTGCTTCGAAAAACAAAAGAAAATACTCCGCAAATAAATTCAAAGAAACCTGAAATTTTTCTTGTCAAATGCAACAACTATCTCGTCATTCTCCTGTGATTCGTAAATCAAATTTTCCTACGAAGCAATTTTCCTATTTGTATCAGTACCTCGGCCAATTGCTGTTTTTGCGAGCCATGAATCCCTTCGCACCTGTTCGAGGAATACCTCCACGAAACTCCTGTTCACGAAATAATCATGCATGTTCGCCTCCTGCACCCTGCCGAACTCCACCTATCGCAAAATCTCTTGCGACGAACCGGCGAATTTAACAGGTCGAATTCCTCAAATTTTTCTGTAAAACAAGGCTCCTGTTCGCGGTGGACAGTCTTTATTTCCCACAAATTGTTGGACCCGAACTCCTCTGCTTCTTGAAATTGTCTGAAGCGAACTGTCGCGCCAAGTAGCCTCCGAAGCAAACTGTCGCCGCGAAATTTCTCTCGCCTGTTCGCTAACCGCCTCTCCGCCTGTTCGACACGAAGTCCACGAACTCTCTGTTCGCGTGAATGCCAAAAGACGAACTGCCGAAACTGCTGAACAATGCTTTGCGAACTCGCGATCTGACCAGATCTTCCCGCGAACGAGATTTCCTTCGCCGATCGCGAACTGGTCTGATCTGCCGCAAAACCCCTCTGCGTCGCGAATCGCGCGCCTGTTCTCGAATTCAATGCAACTCCTTCGCCTGACTCGCCGAACCTTGCGCCGCAACTTCTCGGTCGAGAACCCTGGCAGAATCGCGGGCTCCACTTCACGTCCGAAGCCCACGAACTCCCGAAGCCCCTCAAGAACTTCGTCTTCGGCGCTTCCTCTGCGTCGATCGAGCCTTTCCGAACGATCGCACGCGAACTCCCTCTGATGGATCTCACGCGAACAACTGCATTGATCGCGAATCCCTCGTCTGCGCCGAACAGCTTTTGCCTTTCACACCTACTGCTCTGCCAGACGCAGTGCCGCTTGGTTCGCAAGCACTGCGTCCTGACCAAATCCGCCGAATTCGCTGAACTTCCGCGGGAACTCCAGTACCCGCAAGCAATTTGCAAATTCCTTCCTGATCCGATTTGTGGCGAACGCAGATCTTTCGCAAACGCTTTAGGAACTGCCGCACAACCGGCAAAACTCCTTCTCAAATCTTCTTCCTGCGTCGATCTCCTCCTGTTCCCCTCGAAAGAAGAAGGCTCTGATACCAATTGTTGTGGAAATTGCAGCGGAATAAAATAGGAATCGACACAAACTAGAAGAAGAACACAGAAATTTAACGAGATTCGACAAAGAATTGCTTACGTCCTCGGGAGCGAGCGGCGGTTTCACTATTTCAGAGAAGTTTCAATTTACATCTCATAGGATCACACATATATATAGACATATACAAACCTTCAGATAAAATTACAATCACGCTCTCGCTCCCCCCAACCCCCTTTATTCCAAGAAACACTCATTTTCACCAGGAGACACACATCTTCACCAAGAAACTCCAACTCTCTAGATATGAGCCATAACTAACAGAACTAGTACAGCGGGACCGGTCGATAATCAACCGACCGCCCTGCCCCATCCGTCGAAGAGCCGAATGACTCAGCTGGAGTGGGAGTCATGACGTGGAGCAGCGACTGAAGGATCCAACCAATAGGAGTGGCTCACAAAGGTTGTAATCACTCATGCAAGGAGGAGAAATTCAATGAGCTTTTGGGGGGAGGGGGGGTGATTTTGAAGGGTTATATTTGGGCTAATAACTTAGGGTTTGCTTCATGTTTGTTTTGTTTGGTTGGAGTTTTCCTTCTTCGTGTGGTGTTCCTAACAACGTATAGAATTTGTGAAGAGTCGATCTACTGCTCGAATAGTAGATCATCATTGTATTTGCTTGTTTTCTTTTGATTTTTATAAGGGTTTGTGGGGAGCCGATTTACTTCTCAAATAATAGATCATCATTGTATTTGATTATTTTCTTTTGATTTTTATAAGAGCAGCCCTCGTTGACTTTTTCACCTTTCTATTACAATTTTGTCATTGTTTGCTCCCTTTGGTTCCAAATCCTATCATCGTGCATTGTTAATTTTGGGTCAGATCTGAATTTGACCGGACAACCTGAATTGACACCTCTTTTTGTAGAAGAATTTTTTCTTAACCTTTTTAACTTTGAACTTGGAGATTTGTTTAATATGTTTACACTCTTGAGAAAGTTGACTTCTGTTATTTCTGCTATCTTTACATTAAGTTGGTTCCGAGGGACTCACGAGATTTTATACTTCCTTTTGCATGAAGGGGCTACTGAGTTTTTTATTTGCATTTGCTACCCGACAGATGAAAATTCAAGTGCATGGATTGTCATTCATTTGCAGATCACACATTCATGCAACTATTAACAAACTTTAGCTGGATATACATTTTGTAAAATTTGTCCCTTAATTTTGTTTTTTTGTTTTCCATTCGAAGCACCTTCTATGCATATTTCCTGAGTTCTGGATTTGCGGCTTTCCTTAGCTGTTAAATAACCGACAACCTGTAAATAGAGAATCTACAAATGACACTTTCTGTTATTTTGCTCTTTTTTTCGATTACATAGTCTTTTAAAATATTTGAACATTTTTTTATTCTAGTTTGATGTTTTGTCAACAAATTTTATCATTTTGCACGAATATCGA